AATGGAAAAATGAATGTGATTAATGTATATTTTGAGCTCAGGGGTAGAAATTGTATTTGAATGTCTCAGAAACCATGCTGCTTAAGGAAAATGGCTGACAGAAAGTCAAAATGGCTGACAGAAAGCCTGGCTCTGGCTTGATATTCCCAAGAGAACTAGTCCCATATTTTTGTAGTTAATAGGATAGTTTAGATAAAGATTTAGATAAGCTAAATAAGGATTAAATGACTGTTTTAAGAATTTAGTTTAGTATCTGATTCTACTTTGTCTATACTGATTTCTTCTACTTTTTATTGATAAAATGATTGATAGAATTTTTTATTGCAAAGTATGAAAATAGAAAGCATGTAAGCCCACTTGTCTTTAGCCATTGAAATTGGATTCTTTTTATTTTTCAATTTCATTCTGAGTTTATTTAACATTTAATCCATTTGAAATCAAATAACACATTGGCTCCAATACTGGCCACTGTGCAAAAACTGAAATAAACTGCCAGTCAGTAAGCACATATAAGCATAATTCTTTTTATCATGTTAATAGAAATATCAATATTCATATTCATCTTTACACACTTATTGCATCCCATGTGGATTCCCCACCCCACCTGAAAGCTATTTCTAGATCATCAAAGATTGCCAATCGTGATTCATTTATTGTTCTTCTTTTTAAAAATTATAACCAAGATTAAACTATGCAATTACTACTGTTATATAGCACTGAGCATCGGAAATGTCAAAAAATAATGTTTACAGAGACACGCCTCCTTCCAACATCCTTTTTCTAACTGTGCTGTGGTCCAATCTCCCATGTCTATATATGGACTTCGGGGTGCAATGGTCTTCCCACAGAGAAGGTGGCTGTTCTAAAATGAAGTATCGACTTGACTGGGACAAAGATTCTGGAATCCACTGAAGCTAGAGGAGCAGGCCAACACTGGAGTGCTTGGATCACTGCCTTTTGCTAAAAGCACCCTTGAAGTGCCACGTGGAGCTCTGTCTGGAATTCCAGACTCAGGCCACTGTTTACAGAGAAGCATCCATGACAATGCACCCCAAAGGCCAGGATGCGATGGGGAAGGGATTTTGTTTCAAATGGTTCCAGACAGACACCCTGAAGGAGGAAACTCAGGGGCATACAGGAAGGCTCAGCACCATCCTAAGCTTCAGGTCCACTGATCCTCTCACACTCTATTATCTTCATTTTGAATGAGAACATCCAGTCAAACCTCTTTGTCTGGCGACCTCAATACCAAAACGACATTGATTTATTTTCTTCATGTTAAAACAGTTCTAAATTTCAATGATAAACATGGAATAAAACAATCACTTTGCCCGGTCACTGCACGTGGACAAACTTGGAGCAGAGTCTCTCTGTACTGCTACATAGAGTACAACAGGAAACAGCCCAGAGGCTGGAAGCAGCGGTCTGCAAACTCAGGGGTCCTTCCCACAGGGGAGAATGCCTTATACAACATTCACGTCAAATTCATTTGGCCGCTGATTCATCCTCACGTGATGGCTGGCTGTCTCTCTCTCTGAAAAGTCACAGAAATCTATGAGGACGATAAGAGAAGGCGGGGAGAGCTGAGAGCACGAGCCAGGCTAGATTCCACCGGGTTCAGCCCAGGCATCCGGCTGTAGTGTCGGGTGTGCTTTCAAAGTTTGCCGATTTCAGTCCCGTGAGGGTGGTTGGAAGCAGATAATGGAGCGGACAGCCAGGAACGCCAAAGGAAGGCCCACATCGTCACAAGACTCTAAAGCAGGACGCACGTGACTGACTGTCCTTCGAAGAAATCCACTAACAACCCGAATGCAGTTAGTTGTCTTGTCACCCTCATCTTCAACTATGACTTCAGGAGGTTTAGCAAGCAGCCTTTTGCTACAGTGTCAAAACCACTCACCATCTAGTCAGGACCTACTCACTGCCCTCAGCCGACAGCTGTCTACTTCTTAATATTGATGGGTCCTTGCTACCGTTTGGTCTTAGAAGTTTTAGTTTTCCCCCACATTCTTCTGAGAGCACCTTGAATTAAACAATGAGATTGGAATGGAAATTCAATATTTGAAACAGTCCCTTTTCACTGATGGAGGACACACATTTACTGAGTATCTACTCTATTCAAAACCCCGAGTGTGGGCTGGGACATCTTGGAAAACCAGTGACTATCACAGCTAGGAAGAGGGGATTTAGACCAATGACATAATTCAACTGGAGGGGCCCAAGGGGTCGGGCACCTCGCTGCACCAGGTGCTGTGCTCTAAGTAGCAGCTGCCCTCAGAAAGCTAACCTGGATCTTGGGACTGTTTTGGTAGTTAAGAACAGACAGATCCAACAAGCTTTTCCTCATGGCCTGGGCTGCTCCACATGTGTGGCTGACAGGATCAGCCTCCAAGACCTGGCCCCTCCTTCACAGTCACTTGGTGAAGTACATGCACTGCAGCTCAGGGTAGGTCTCTTGGATCTTGCCTTGCAGGTCAGCCTCCAAACTTGCCACAGGCATGGAATTTTACTGAGGAAAAAGAGCACAACACAGGGGTGTAGCAAACACCAAACAGAAGCCAACCAATCTGACTTGAATAGGCACGCTCATCCAGGGGAACCTCTTTAAGAAGGCTTTCTTTTCCAAGGTGTTCATGATGAATGGGGGATCACCATGCCAGGAGCGGCCATGAGAATTCTGGAGACTACAACTTGAGCGATGCTTGTTTCACATTCACTGATTCACCCCAGCGGTTCCCACTTTCATCAGTGACAGGAATGCCAACTTTGAGTTCTCTCTGCCTCATTAATGGAATGTTAATGCAATTAGCAGCAGCCACGACAGCAAAAGGGACAAACTGCCCTATCAGGGGTGAGTCATGCTCGGTGAGTGCGTTAAGTCCTAGAGCTGTTGCTACAGCACCCGTTGTTGCAGAAACATAGGCTGTTCCCAGTTCATTCACAGTGAGATTGGTGTCTCCACTTCTTTTTTTTTTTTTT